TAATTCCCTAAAAAGCCTCCAGTTAATCCAAAATGTTGCAGCCAGAGTACTGACAGGAACTAGCAAGAGAGATCATATCTCTCCCATATTAGCTTCTCTCCACTGGCTCCCTGTAAAATCCAGAATAGAATTTAAAATCTTTCTCCTAACATACAAAGCCCTTAATGACAAGGCTCCATCGTATCTTAAAGACCTCATAGAGCCTTATCATCCTAACAGAGCACTTTGCTCTCAGAGTGCAGGTTTACTTGTGGTTCTTAGAGTCCACAGAAGCAGAATGGGAGGCAGAGTCTTTAGCTATCAAGCTCCTCTCCTATGGAACCAACTCCCAGTCTCAGTTTGGGAGGCGGACACCCTCTCTACCTTTAAGATTAGACTTAAGACGTTTCTTTTTGATAAAGCTTATAGTTAGGGCTGGATCAGGTGACCCTGAGCCTTCCCTTAGTTATGCTGCTATAGGCCTAGGCTGCTGGGGGGCCCCATGATGCTCTGAGTTTCTCTGTCCTCTCCTCCCCTCCCCTCCCCTCTCCTTCCTCTCTCCCTATGCTTCTATATGCCACCATTACACATCACTAACTTTGTGTCTCCTCTCTCCCGTAGTGTGTCCTCTCTCTCTCCCTGTACCTTTCTGCAGGTTGCCCTGGCCCTGGAGCTCTACGTCTCTGACGAGCAGTCACCAGCCACATTGACCTGATCAGTGTTTGATTATTGTGTCTTGTTGCTTTTCTTCTTCTCTCCCTCCTCTATCCACTCACCCCAACCGGTCGAGGCAGAAGGCCGCCCACCAAGAGCCGGGGTCTGTCGGAGGTTTCTTCCGTCAAAGGGAGTTTTTCCTCCCCACTGTCGCCAAGTGCTTGCTCAAGGGGGATTTGTTGGGTTTTCCCTATGTAATATTATTGATAACAGTAAGGTCTAGACCTTACTTTGTAAAGTGTCCTGAGATGACTTTTGTTGTGATTTGGCGCTATACAAATAAAATTTGATTGAATTTGATTGATTGATGTTATCGCTTTCCTTTTGTCATTATCAAAAACAGGACTCAGAAAAAATGCTATGCTGATCCTAAACTCACACACACACCTGATCAGCTGTGATGAGAGGCTCTTCATTCAGGCAGTTAGCATTGTCATTCTTCTCGTTCATCTCTTCCTCTTCTTTTTCATGGATCTGCAGAATGTGAGACAAAATGTGAGAATCAAGCAATAAACAAATGGTAGTATGTCTTACTAAGAGAATTAGGCTGATAAGAGTCTGCCTGACTGCAATGGAATAATATACTAAATCCTCCTGTCTGAAAGTCTGTGCAGAGCAGCTGGATCCCATCTTGACACAGATCACTGGAGTTGTGTGAAGTCCCCTCCTACTTCAAATGCTCCACCATCATTCTGGTTCCCAAGAAACCTTTAATCAGTGGACAGAATAACTACAGACCTGTTACCTTGACATCTGTGGTCATAAAGTCCTTTGAAAGACTGATGTTGTCCCACCTAAAGGATATCACAGGCCCACAGCTGGACCCCCTGCAGTTTGCCTACCGGGCAAACAGGTCAGTGGATGATACAGTCAACACAGTACAGCATTACATCCTGCAACATCTCAACTTCCCTGGACTCCCTTTTCCTTTTTGTGTTCTTCAGCACCATCATCCCAGACATCCTCCGCTCTAAAGTGGCATTGCAATACCATAATGTCAACATTTATGGTTATGTGTGAAATGTCTCAACGGCCGCTGGTCACCATTGGTCATGGTCATGAAATTTCCTATAGACACTTCCTATATACACATTTTGATTCTCTGACGATGAACATTGATAATTTTTCATCTGGCACCACCATCAGGCTAAAATTTGAGTTTATCCAGCACTTTTAAATAAATACATGCAAAATTAATAATATTCACTTCAGTCTCAGCTATAGTGTGCTTAGTTCTCAGTAGCGCAGTACAACAGCCAATTAACAGAGGAGAGGAAGAGGGTGACCTCTTCAAAGTTGGGTGAGTCAAGGTTGGTCAAGCATGTCTTCTGTCAGCAAGAGTCTCAGAAATAATAAACCTGCTGGCTATTTAGTTTGGCAACACAAGATGAAAAATGATAGAATAAGATAATACTGTCATTCACCAACCTCTAATACCATAAGAACACAATCTTATTTTGCCTTTTAAACTAGTGGAACAAATATTAGTGAACATTTATTCAATCATTTGTAGCAAGCAGTATAACAGATAAATACTAAAGGTCCCTCCCTAACTACATAGAAGAGGGAAAATATGAAAGAAGTGACTGTGAAGACAATTTTCTGGGGTTTTCTGGGTCAGACTGGCTGTAGCTTTAATGAACCCAAGCATTACAGTAGGGCTCAGAATCAGCTGTTCCTTTATTGTTAATACTTTAAGGCACACTTTCCAACTAAATAATACCACATTGTACAGAATGATGTCAACACTTTAACATTTCAACATTCAACTTGCACCAAATACAAGATGGTTGGAAAAAGGTTTTTAAAACCTTATGCTATGTTTAAGATCCATATAACTAAAGGTTATAAAATATCAATTATAGTCACCTTTCCACAATAAAAAAGAAAGTTTACTTGCTGTTATTTTACAGCAGTCTAGTAGTACATTTCCCAGATCTAGAAAGATGTCGACGTCATGTACCTCCTGGTCAGAAAGATTGCCGTTGAGTCCCTCTGCGTCGGAACCCTCCCAAGTGCAGATGTAGTTGTCAGTTAAAGCATCCCACACACTGTGAAATAACACACAGACACACACACATAAGCAAGGTAATTTCAGGTAGGCCTACCTCAAACAAATACCAAAAAGAAGCATTAAAACATTTTTTGCCTCAGCTGTCTACTATTTCAAGCTGATGTATCCACACATGATGTACTTAGACACCTAGCAGCATTAGACTAGAGACTGCTGTGGTTTCTCACTGGCTAACAGTGGTCGTATGTTACCAATGTCTACCCAGCCCTGCCTTGAGCAGCCAGCAACTCATTCAATATCTCAATGTGACAAATCAGTGATGGTAGTCAATGTGCAGAGATACAACAGAAAAAAGCACTGCTTACTACTCAGTCAAAGGTATCCTTAGCAGAGATTTAGATAAAGCTTCTCACATCATTGTGACAGCGGTCTGCAACCCGGAGCTCTCGTCTGTCTGATGAGGGAATGACATAAAACTGGGAGAGAGGTCTCCTTTGTCTCAGAGCCTGTGTGTTTTTTCTGCTTCAGAGGTCAGCTCAGGCCTGCTGCCCTGCTACCAGTGGCACTGCCCATGCCCGATCACACAGTGGGCACCATTCAGCTCACAGCTTATCTCATCAGCCTGGCCTGTGTGCCATAGATGCAAAGCCCACCACATAAACAGGGTCAAAGTTGTAGTACCACACAATTAATTTTGTGCTGTATGTCTCCCTACAAGCCAACTTGATTAGATGTCTGTGTTCTGTAAACAGACTTTGGCTGACCACCATTTAATCAGAAGACATTAAAAAATCAGAAACGTTGGAAGATAGTTCCAGGATTACTGAGAGGTGCACACACTATTCTAAATCATTTCAATGTTACTTCCCTGTAGAGCAGTTTGAACTGAATTAGTTTGAGCCTAGCCAAGCGGTCTGACACATATCTCCCAGTGTTTCCATGTCTTCCCAGTATTCCCAGTGTCTTCATGCTAACCTAAGCTAACCTGCAGCTGGCTTTATACAGTATGTAGCTTCATATATGACAGTCAGTCAGTCAGTCATTTTAGCTGAAATAAAACTAACCAAAATACCATGGTACCACCCACCACAGCAAAACAATAGCACATGGTGCCTGTGTATCAGGGCCACAGTTTGGTTATCAGGCTGTCAGGAACTGGAACTCCATGTTACAAAGCTGTCCTGCTGTATCTGTTGGCCCACGGCCACTGAGAAGATATGATTCCATTTAATATTCTAGTTCTCCATCAGCTTGTTGGACTCACTGGCATCTGTGCTTCTAATTAGGCTGCTGCAGGAATTAGGCCAAAATGTGCACCAGACTCTCAACCACACAGCAGATTTAGTGTATTGAGAGGATTCTGTGGGTCTGTGAGTCTTTCCTGTTTTAAATGAGTCACTCCATCTTCCACTGGAAAAAAGATATTTCTCCTATATGCACGGTGGAGTGACAAACATCAGCACTGTCTTAGTTTCTATTAATAACTGTGTGTATTCTGTGTCTGAATGGTGCTGAGATGGAAAACTATTTAGTGAATGAGACTTACTTCACATGAAATCACAGCATGGATGAAACTGTTATTAAAACAGGAGGAGTAACAACATAATGTTAACAGGAAAAAGACTCCACAGGAGGTGGAACAGTTGATGTGTGTGACTAGATCATATCTGTACCAGATGCCACAACAAGTCAGTGTAAGGCCTTAGGTTTAGGTCTTGGTGAGTAGTGTAGCAGCTTGCTGTCAGACTCCAACCACTCACAGTCCTGTATCTTCTCAGTATCCAGTTAAAGCATTAATACTGACTCATTTTTACTGGCAATTTGATATTGTTTGAAAAAACATGATTTCCTTCCAAAAATTGTCCTCCTACATTGATAACCAGGCTATTTTTAGCCCAAGACATATCTGCACAGTGTGAGGACACCTGTGTTTCCACCTCAGAGCCTGCTAGCAAAAGAAGAACGAGCCGGCAGTCAGCTGATGGAGAGGCAGGGACAGAGACAGACCAACAGAGCCAAAGCCAGTTGAGGTATATAGCACTACACACTGAATAATTCAGCATGCTACCTGACTGTTTGGAAGGGTGGGGCCATGCTGCTAATCAACTGATTTGTTTGGCTGTTGTGACCTGTGTGTGACCTGTGTGTGGCTGTATGAGTGCGTCATGTGTTTCGGGCTGGGCTACTTCTGTGTGAGTATAAATCATGAATGGCAATGATGGCAGCACCATGATGAGGAATAGGTTCTACTTCATGTGTGCCCAGAGTCTGGCTGTGGTATCACACTGTGTTACTATGTTTGTGTTTCCTTTGATAATAGGATGCATAATCTGGAGTTATAAGTCACCTGAAAACTGAAGAATATAAATAAACTATTAAATAATTTCATATACAGTACTTCTTAAAAATACATTTTGTGCATTAACAATGTTGTGACATGCAAAATTGTTCAGAATGTCAAGTTATTATTTTGTTATAACTTTGCAGCACATTTCAAAATATGTTTCTTTCCATGTGTTTTCGGTTATTCCTTTTTTATTTCCTTTTTTATTTCTTTTTCCTCTTTTTTCACTTCACCATTATTTTCTATTTTACACACCCGCTTTCCTTTTCCTTTTATTAATCATGGCCTGAAGGCCATAGAAAAGAATGAATGTCCACACAGCTCATTTTAATTCAACTGTCACAAAGACCTGTCCCATCCTAGTTTATCGTTGACATTCTCGCCTGTCTCCTGCCACTCTCCATCTGCCCACCAGATGTCCCCCCACTGTAGGTTGCTTTCCTCCTTTCCCCGCACCCAGCTGCTCCCCTCTCGATTTCTAATCTTTTGGCTTTCCCCACCTGGCTACTATACACATCTGTTTAGTACTTTCCTGATTTGCTCACCTAAACACTTTTTCCTCAGTGAGTTCCCAGCTTGTCAAGTCTTTCCCAGTGATGCTTTGCTTAGAATTATGGTTGCTTATGTACAGTATGTTCCCATATGCTCCTGAGGGGCTGGGGCCATACAGCTCCAAAGCTAGCTTATATCCTATGCTAAATGTAAAGTTGATATTTACAGTAAAAGTATTTCACATCAGTGATACTGTAGACACAGCTGGCCCAGCCAAACGTAAGGACTATCTGTACATGTGCAGAAAACCGAACACACATTGTTTTTAATAGATATATGATGCCATTTTCATCTTCAGTTTGCTCCTCGTCTGCTGTGTAATTCTCTTTGTCTTGTGCCTGTTAATATGTCTAGCCCTAAAAATAAATTAATGTAAAAGCTGCAAATCCCCAAAATACTGATGCAAATACTTTTCTAATGCTTTTTAAAGTGCTGTAAGTACAGATGCAACATTGAGTAGCAGTTTTTTAACTTGTATATATGTGTGTGTATATTGTTGTCTTCTGTTTTTTTTTTTGTTTGTTTGTTTTTTACTTGTCCTGGTTTTACTCTGTTTTTATATTGTTGTGCACACTGGGGTTGTTGGACTGGAGTCAAATTCCTTATATTTTTGACAATACCTGGCAATAAAGTTTATGCTTATGCTATAAGTACTAGTTTATGATAATTCAGCCTTTTAGAGGACTATCACATCTGTTACATCCTCAGCTGTGCACATTGCAGGCTTGAAAACACACAATAACTGATGACCACTGTTAAGACTTGAACTCCCCAGAAAACTGGATCTCATATGAACAGTTTTGTGTTAAATAGTATTAACAATGCTGACTCACTCTTCGTCCTGCAGGTGCTCCTCATCCTCCTGGTTGTGTGATTGGTTGCGTATGGGTGCCAGGCCCTCCGTCTTGGTGTTGTAATTGTGGAAACAGACATTGAGCTTCTCATCAAACTCATTGACCAGGTCCTCCATCGACTTAAAGCTCATCATCTCAGAGAAGTTCTCCAGCTCAGAGAAGTCCTCACGGGTGATGGAGGCCAATGGGACGGTAGAAGTGGTGGAGTAAGATGAATGACTCAGTGCTGGATAGTCCAGCTCGTCCATCTGACAGGGCCGGAGATCTTCAAATTCCTCATCCAAACACACAAGAGGGGCTTCCATGGTGTCCCCTGTCAGGCTAATGTCTGAGCCCTGCACAAAACAGAGTGAGTGTGATAGTGTTCACTGCATCAACTTAGCTAAATCACCACTTATAAAACCTGTGGTTTAAGTTTCATCAGCCTTCCTTTAATTAGGCAGGGTCACTGCTGTAGCAGTGGATCACTCAAGGCACAACAGTCTCTCAAGATTATTTGTCCCCATCTGCTAGAATCCCATTAGGGTTTATCTGGCATCCCCTTAATCATGTCTGCCTCACCTCAGCTAGAATGGCACCATGACGTCTAGACAAAAAGGAGATGGAGGTAGATGTGCCAGAAGGGGACCCGGTCCCAAAGGGAACCCAACCAGTTGGCTTTACTGGTAAACCACAGTTAATTAAGTACTTCTGCTGGGATTTAACTGCTATGGTTTGCAAAATTCAGACACACAAAATTATAGGAAGATTTCTCAGACTGCATCATGTGTTACAGTATGGCTATCTTAAGCTCTCCTCTATGGTTTTGGTGCTAACTATCTGGGTGTAAAAGTGATTTAAATTGAATTTGTTAAATGGTGTCATTAATCTCCAGATAATTACAGTGCAGCTCTGGGAACATTTTCTTCTGATTTAGTGAGACATCTTCTAGTCTCAATGCAAACATGTAGATTGGTTTAGCATGAAACTAAGTCTAAGGATACGCTTTACAGTGCGGTGACACTGTCGACACGACCTTCAGGGTTCTGAGACAGACTTCAGAAAGTAACTTCATTCTGAAAGGTGAGAAATTTTGTATTAAATAAATCACCTTACAAAGAGACAGGGAATAAAATTCAAATTCTATTTTTAGTCTTTAATTTTATTGTGTCCCTTGTGTATTAAATGCGTCAGCTTGGCGCACCACTGAGGAGAGTGCAGCCAGACCTTGTGCTTATAAGATGCAGATACTCGTATGTTCAAATCATTAAGAATAAATATGATATCAGTTTATTCTCAGAAAACATCCAACCAAGACATTATTCTGAGCTCCCTCTTTTCAGTAATTGCAGTTTATTAACTGGTGGAAACTGCTCTCATTCTTTCTTTAACTTTTCTTTACTTGGTTCTTCTTTCGTTCCCTTGTAACAGTGAAGGGCTTCTCTGTGAACATATGATGTTCTATGGCCGGTTGAACACAAAATATTTACCCAATCTCATAAATGCACCACTAAAAATAAATGATTTGAACACTTTGTTGAAGTGCATTGTTTGGAATGAGGTTATACTTTCTTCCTTTTAACACTTATATTAACTGGAGCAGAGTTAGTTTCTTCCAGAAACACTATAAATATAATCAGAGAGCACATTCTTTTCTGATTTTATCCTAAAGGCTCTCAGTGTGTATGTACATATCCCCATGGAAACAAGGAATTTGTTTCCGGTTCTGTACTGGAAACAAATTCCTTGTGTGTAACATACTTGGCCAATAAAGGTGATTATCCTTATCCTTATTATGCAAGGGGCAAGTAAACAGTAACATAAGGCTGTGTAATATAACAAAAATAATAAGCAATGACCAGTGCAAACAATGCAAAATAAGCAGTATAAACAGGCAGTAAACAATGCAGACAGACAAAGGAATGCTCATTGTGAAATGAGATAAATAGGAATAAAAATGTTTAAAAACTAGAGACCTGGAGTTAGGCTCCAGTGGTTCTACTTGGACGTGTTATTAGGAATGTCAAAAGGTCTGTGTGTTTTGGAACGTGGTATATATAATATTACTGGTAGCAGCAGGGTATTCTGTGTTTCCCAGTTATCCTGTTCCTAAACTATGATTCAGTTCCTGCTTGTTGTTTTTGCTAAAAGAACCCTCCACGTCCATAGTAGGACATTATTAATTCAGAGCAAAGGACAGCCAGAAACATGAGGGTTCTTCTCAGTAATTTGGGGAAAGGGTTTTGCTTAGTTCTTTCTCCTAAAATCCATCAAATTAACAATAGAGTTCACAGCAATGGAATATAGTAGGAGAAGCAACTCACGTAACTGTAAAACATAATGCTCACATTCATTTGGATAAAATAATCTACTTGAAACATTTCTGGCCATCAGATATCAAAACATCAAATGTAATTCCATAAAACATCCAAAATCAAAGGGTGTAGTCCTGCAGTAACAAGCATCCTTCAAGCTGTAGTCAGACTTTCTAAGGAGAAGTTGTGCCCCAGTCAGGCTGACTGACGCAGTGTAATTACAGTAGTGAGGACTAAATTTCATTCTGTGTGCTCTGCTGGACCGTGGCCTGGCTTAAGTGGGTGGGTACAGAGGAGTCCATCTGAAAATAAGCCTGTGCAGGCCTCTTCCTTCTTATCACACCACTCAGTAAACTGCAGCTCCAGCTGGATATTGGTTTTCACAGTCTCCTCTTCTCTTTTATATCACTGGTGTATTTTTTTTGTGTGTGTTTTTATTAACTACAATCATTACAGGCTTAGCAGTCACTGTATTTCTAATTTTTCTACAATCTACAGCTGAGAAAACATGGAAATGAATTATCCTTGCCAGTGACTGACAACTTGTGTCTGTCAGTTGATCCAGTTAAGGTCATTTGGTTTACTCAAATAAGGAATGTGAACATGAACATGGGTGGCTGTCTCTAACCTTGCCACAGGGATTACTTGCAGATGCACTGCTGCTTTAAAATTTAGCAGGGTGAGAAGACAAATTCAATTTTCCTCTAGCACCTTGCAGTTATGCTGTAGCCTGCTTACTGTGCTGCTAGTCAGTTTAGCAAAGTGACTGTGGGAAATGCTGGAAGATTCTGTTTTAGCAAACACACTGAGAAATAACTCCACATTAAAGCCGACAGTAGTGTGAATGTGTGTGAAAGTGTTTGAAATGTGCATGAACATTGAATATTAGCATTGTTTGTGGTCTCAGGTGCGTGTTCATGTTCCACATGGATGAGATTATAAAAATGAAACATTCATTTATTGTCTTACAGCCAAATCTGCCACCCAGTTTCACTGAGGGGAGAGATGATCACAGCCAGCACAGCAAACAACAAATTAAACTGCACATTTTTAAGCCACACTTTTTTTTTCTACTCTGACACAGCCATGCTTGTCACACATGCAAATGTTTTGCACAGTGGTTTATTTAATATTTTGAATAAGAACAATGCCAGCACATTTCAAATGCTATTCATATCACTAAGTGTGAGGCTGCTGCATATTTGGAAAATGAAATGACATCATTTCTCATGTTTATAATGGTCCCAGTGTAACATAGCAGATATTTAATCATATTTATACTGAAGGTACTCATTAGATCACACAGACTGAGTCCCACATCAACATCAGTGAAAAGGATTCCATTCAAATAATCATTGAGGCAGCCATGGCAAGAATGGAAATCAAGCTAGTCCATGTCATCAGCTCATCAGAGGAAGAAAAAAAGGGGAGAGTGGGGGAGGAGATGAGCAGCATGGAGAGGGGTAGGAGAGATGAAGGAAACCATGGTTACAAGGCAAGGATGGAGGGAAGATGATGCACAGCAAGGACGTCAGAAAGGTTTGCACTGAGCACCAGAATGGAAGAATGAACAGCAGGAGGATTTGTAGAGTAAGAAGACAGGTTACCTGTGGTAGAAGTGTTGTTTGTGCCTAAGCCTTCCTTTGTAACAAAACCCAGTGATGAGCAGCAGCAGTTACGTTCATTCCAGGGTGAAAGAGAGAAAAGATCAGGAATATAAAGATGGCAACGTGATCTGAACTTTGGTCTGAATCCCTTCCCTCACCCATAAGCCCACAGTCACCCTTATCTGTCCTCCCACAGCCCGTTGTTTTCCAATCAATAGGCAGCCAGCCCAGCTCACACAGAGCCTGCGCACTGCCGGGCCTCTGACGATATCAGCTCAACCCTCCCTCTCGCCTTCCTTTCTTCCCTCACGTTCTCCCTTTGTCCCTGCCTCCTCCCTCCCTCCCTCCCTCTCTACATACATTAATACCCCAGTATTCATGAGAAGAGAAGTAGAAGGAGGAGCTGGAGGTTTGAAGGAAGGAGACAGTGTAGCAAGACAGTACACGGTACATTAAACCAGTTTACTATATCAACAACATTTCCCCCATTGTCTGCTTATTCATTCTAACATAGACCTGATTGGAATAAGCATTGATTGTTATGGACTTGTATATCTGCACAGAACCAGCATGGCTAGTATGAAAACAACAATACCAACAATGAATAGAAATTAAGTGACTTCAAACTGAAACATTTAAATGTGAAATCTAAAAACTAATCCAGGCAGACAATGTGCAGGACTGAAAGGCATACAGCAGTCAAAGCCTTATGATACTAAGCAGGTTTGCACCATAACTGCATAGTTTGGGATAGCAGTTTCCATGCAGGTTTGTCTGGACCTTTCTATGTAGTGAAGACTTTAAAGAAAGAATTTAATAAAAGGTATTAAGTGTCATTTTTTGGCAAAATGGACATTGTCACTGTACTGACATACTGTAAATATGTCTAGTGAATAATTTCCATCGAGAACATGCTGCCTTCACTTAGAGACTATTTTTATAGAGGACTATTGAGGACTGATAGAGCCCAAGTAGACGTCTGTGCCAAATTTGAACAAATACCTTCAAGACATTCCTGTGATATTGTGTTCACAAGAATGGGACAGACAAACTAAAAAACATAAAAATGACTGAGTTATGAGGACCAGGATGTTGTGAGGATACATTAGATGACCTTATATAGTTTTTCAAGTGCTTTTGGCACTATACAACAATTTGATCATCTAGGTGAAAACCAAAATCCTGACCCAGCCATGTTTAATGTTTATTGCAGTCTTATCATTTATAAGCTATAGATCGTATTTCATCACTTTCTCACTAAGGGTTGATGTATTCATAAGAAGATTCAACTCTCTGCCACTCTTACATTAAAAGAGTTAAGCACAAACAACTCTAGTGATAACATTTTTTCAAGGTATATGAGACTTCTCCTGTGAGTGTTGAAAAGATATAAATGTATGACCTACTGTACACAAAGTCTGTGCAAAGTCAGGATTATTGGCGTTAGGTGCTAAGAATCAGTGTCTGGAAATGAAATATAAAGAAAATATCAATTACAATCAATAGAATTTACATATCACAGCAAAACCAGGAACCTTTTATGATCTTTAAAAAGGTTTTGAAATGAACTCTGATGTCACCATGAGCCAATATATATGAAGACAGATGCCAATAAAAACAGCCTGTGCTTTCAAATCTGGATAATCCCTTGTTTTAGTCTGTGGTTGGGGTTTAGCCTTCCTGTAAAAAAGCCTCAGCTGGAGGAAAGTGAACACGTGCACTCATATAACAGTTCACATGTTATTATCAAACCCAGAGTGCACTCAGGCTGGGAGGTATTATAATATGACTATATTTGAGGACAGGAATGTCCAGCTCTGAGACATGAGCAGATTTGACAAATGAAACTCTTGGCCTGATGTTTGGCTTGAGAGAAAATAAGCAGTTAGTGTGTGTTTCAGTAAGGACTGTACAGTTATTTAAACAGATTTTATATTTAGTCTATTCTTAAAGCTAATGATTAGCACATTAATGAAGTGTTTTTGTCATCCTAAAATAGACATCATGACTTCAGAAATTGGCAAGCAGATACAAGCAGGTAAAGACAAAGAGAAAAGCTGCAGACTGATTCACTGATGACATGACATCAGTGCGCAGAAGGAGCTGCACCTACTGTACCTGCTCACTTGTACACTATAAAAAATAAAATCAGAAACCACACACATACTGTACTCGCTGTACATATGCAAAAACGAGTACCAGCATACACTGCATGTTTGAGCAAACAATCTGCAATAAGTGCCATGTGTGTAGACAGATTTCATCATCAGTGTAAAACACTGTGGAAACATCGTGGCCGACCAGCCAACAAACACCAGCTTCATTAGTCTGTAGAAGCAGCTGCTGCTTCCCCACACTGCAAGACAAAGAGAAGGGGAGAAAAGGAAGAAAGGAGCTCTAGCCTGTCCGAGGCCTCCCATTACTACAGCAACATAGCTCACAAAGCCAGCACTGCATGGATGTTGGTTGCTATGGTTATGCTGTAATGTCACTGGTACAGTAAAGGAATTACCCCAGAAGCAGCAGAGGGAATAAGAAGAAGAGAAGAACCCCTGCATTGTAGCCCAGCCACTGTAAACACTACACGAGTTGGCTGTTAATGGTTTAGGTGTGATATACAGTGCTTATGGCCTTGTTTTGGTGGTTTGATCTTAATAAGAGCAAATTATGCTGAATCAAAATTATTCTAAATATGTAAATTATTAGTTGTTTGTACACAGATGGTTGATATGAAAATATGCATACAACACACTGACACAAAGGAAGTAGCTGCAGCATATCGCTTAAAGTGGTTGTTATGAATATAACACCACACTACCTCAGCAGTATGCAGATCAAGTAATAGAACAACTTATGTGAACATTTGTAGTCATTCAAGAATGACAGGTATTAGGTTATGATTTAAATGCAAGCAGATTGTGTGCATATTCAGGGGTCTTTCCAAACAAACACTGCATTAGCTGATTGCACTGATTAGCACACTTCCAACCAGCAAACACGCTTCAATGAGCTACTGCTGTGCTGGCCGAAACAATGGATCAGCAGTTAGCATCCTGCTTACCTCAAATGAAGCCTTCAAGAAAGATTTTCCCTGTATAGTAGTCCCACAACTTGTTTAACACCAGCTATGATTCCTGCGCACCCCAGTTGAAGAGGCCACAGTGTTAAAGGAGTGCCAGTGGCCTGTTGTAGGTTTATGTGTGTTTTAAGATATGATGTAAACCTACAAAACAAAAAAATCCAGATATTTTAGAAGCACAGATGGATCTTGGTTAGTCTGTCTGCATTTTGCTGACATCTAGTGGTGACTACAGGAGCATCATGTCAATAACCATTAATGGCGGTGCAACAGTAGTGGCCAGTGCAATGTGACATGCACTGGGAAAAAAAAACAGAAGGTGCTTCCGGTGTGTCCTTAGCTTCCGCTTTACACAGTAGCATCATCAACATCCTCCAAGGGGAACCATCTTTGCACATGGGCTTCTTGCTGCCAACACTTTACCAGTTGCAGGAGAAGCTGAAGAGACTTAAGTCATCTTGCAAAATGTGTAGACCTCTTGTTGATGCCCTGCAGGAAGGGATCCAGAAACATTTTGGAGACATCATGAAAGAGCCTGAGCTGATTGCAGTAGCACTACTCCTGCTAAGACTCAGAACATTGTGGACCACAGAGGAGAGCATCTTAAAAGCTGGTAAATATGATTGATTATGTTTAGAAATTGTGAGCTATTGGACACTGACATACATGAATCTTTATAATGTTACTGTCATTTAGGAGTACAGTGTGTCAGTGACAAACCCACAGGGTGGCAAGAGTTTGAAGCCCAGGGAACTTTTCATGTCAAATATCAGCAGCTTGGCAGCCTATACAGTAGAAGAGTAAGAATAATGCACAGACCTAAATTGTTTTGAAAACCATTTATCTTTCCACAGGCCTTGAATTCATCAGACATCACCTAGAAACAGAGTTGGATGATGTCAGCACAAACAGCAGCCTCTCTGATGAAGATGACTTCTTTGGATCCATGGGGTCAGGAAAACCAGAAGCAGGAGAGCTGGAAAGGTACCTTTCATGTCCATCCACCAGAGATATTGATCTTTTGCATAACTCTCCTCACATCAAGAAGTTGCGACTCAAAGTCAACACAGGTATTCCTGCATCTGCAGCCTGCGAAAGACGTAGAAAAATCAACTGGACTAGGTTTTTAGGTCGAAGACGTTTCACCTCTCATCCAAGAGGCTTCATCAGTTCTGATACACTGCTATGTTCTCACAGGGTTGTCGATCCTGAAGCCTCCACCAATGAAGTGAGGTTTGCTGCTCAGCTGGGGAAGGGGTTCCAGCTGCTTCACTTTGGTCTTGGTCCTCTGCTCACTGAGGAGACACACAAAGCTCCAAGTTATCAGAGAGAACAGACCTATCATATGGACAACACAGACAGTATTGTGCATTTCTTACTTATCATTTGCTTATTGTTATTTACATTTTTTCCATCTGTGAAATAGGTAGGAACAATGTTTTCAAGTTGAAAAATGTTTTGTAACGATAACTTTTCTAAGCTACACGTTTTTTTCCCCCATGTGTGAAACAGAAAAGAAAAGTTTTTGCCAGGATCATTTTACTAAGTCATTTTTATTCATTTGTAAAACAAGTGAAAGGATTTTTTTTTAAACTTGACATTTTTCTGGGTCTAGCTGCCGACTGCCTTCTAAACAGGACTAAATGCCTTCATGTTTTCTTCAGGGTGAGGTTTAATTTCTCCATACCGTGTAAACACATGGTATATTGTGGATTAGTAGTTATGTAGCATTACTGCCATGTTTTTGACTAGAAATGTATTTCAATCTTTATTAATCTGCCAGAAACATTAGCCATACTGATGTTTGGTAACCAGATTACGGCTACTGTATAACTAATGTTAGTTTACTGTGATGTTATAACATGATAACAGGAGCACTTCACCCCTTATGACTTGGTTGTTTTACCGGTACAGTGGGAAATATGAGTGGGGTATTTGGACTGTTTCAAAGGGAATAGGATTCATTTGTACATTTAATGACACAACAGAATAAGCACTTTAGAAACATATTGCTATTATAGTGCTATTATAGTGTGATGCTTGCTTGTGTGCTTTTACACCTACCCTGTTTAGGTCAGTTAAAATGAACACTGGAGCATTCTGCCCAGTTAATGCAGTTTGTTTGGGCTGGTATGAAAGTTATCAATCGAATATACTGTATATACCATGTGTTTACAGTGCATGGAGAAATTAAAATTCACATGGAAGAAAAAATGAAGGCATTTACTCCTATTTAAATGACAGTCTGCAGCCAGGCCTTCCAAGGTGTAGTGGTGCAAACAGCTATTACCAAAACAAACACTTTATACCAGCCTTGGAAAATGGACCACCATAATTGTTTTTTCCACTTGCCTTTCAGGGCTTCTGTATTTCACTGCTACTCAGTGTTACTCCTGAGACAAAATGCAAAACCTCACCTGTGGAGCCTTTTCTGACTAAGGTACTTCTTCTTGATGTTTGCTAGCTCATTGGCCAGTCTTTGATTCTCACTTTTATACTCATTCATCTTTGAATCGAGCATTCTCAGCTCTGCTGTCAACACCTGTGAAATAAAAAACTGTCAACACACACGTCATTAAATAGTGTATAGTTGTATTTGTGGAGGTTGTTATTTGACTTTGAAAAACAAGACCTCTATACTGTATTACATTCATGTACAGTATTTAGAGAACTTGTTCTGCACGACAAAAATCATTTCACCTTGAGTTTTTTGGTTTTCTCTCTGATGGTCCACTGGCATTGCTGGAGCTGCTCAGCTGCCTCTGGACCAGGCTGTCGGGACATAATGTGCTTCAGCTCCACATACAACTTCTCCTTTTCCTTGGTGGGGAAATACGTAAAAAAGATTTTTTTACAGATGAAAAAGATAGTTGTATGTAAAAAGAGAAACATCATCTGTGTCCTGGGGTCAGATCCATGCTACAGTTTAATCAAGCAACCGATCCAAGTAGCACAGGGTAACATTTTTTATTTATTAATTACACTGTGTAAGGATAATTCTGCTTTTAGTTTATATTTTTCTTATTATCAATACATTTCATGAAAACGTGTATCTTGTGTACACCTGAAGTCTAATATACCTTGTTCCTTTGTGCCATAGACCTCCACTGCATTTCATGAGAATGTGTATCTTGTGTACACCTGAAGTCTAATACACCTTGTTCCTTTGTGCCATAGACCTCCACTGTTGTGCAGAAGCTACTTTACACACCAGCAAGCCACAAGTTACACTGGTGACATGTTCCTTTATTACATGATCACACAGCATGTTTGTGTTTTGACATAAACCGTCCTGCTGCCCTAAATACTCTGCTCCAATGAAAATAGTCTCCAGCAAATGCATTAGTTCCTTCTGTCTGAGTAGGTTTTGCTAGAAACGGTGTGCCCGGTGGTTTTTGGAAATGACTGTGCCTTCTGTTTAAAAAAATGAAAGTGCTTATTCATGACCCAATGATATAGTTTCATGGACTAATGCATTGTTAGGTTTGGTCTTTTCACAGCATTTGCTGACAATAATAAAAATTAATATCATGTGCTTTATCCTTCAAAGCCTAATGAAAAGGGATCAAACATCATGATCATAATCTTTTTTTTATTGTTCTACAAGATGTTGGAGCGTCTGCCTACTAACTTGGCTGTCACTGTCTCTCAGTGTTAGTAGCTAAGCAGTTGATGCTGCATTGTAAAAGCAGCACCAATAATTACTTTGCCACTTTACTGCAGTGACATACAGTAGACAGTGGTTTACAAACCGGCTCAATTTTGGAGAAGTCAAACACTCCATCGTGAGGATAAGACCAACTATTCCAAAGAGGAGTGAACAGTTAAGTGCCTGTGCCTGTGTGTACACACTGAGGAGAGAGTGCCAAGTGTTTACCTGTAACAGGAGTTCATGCTCCGCCAGCTCTTGGGTCTTGGCAATCAGTCGTTTCTGTAAGGACTGAATCTTCTGGATGAGTTCATATTTGCCAGGGTCACTGCCCTGCAGGAGCCAGTCATTTACAAAATGTTAATGGCCTGACCTTTTCCTCTTGGGTTAATGATAAAGGTCTTTCATGCAAACTAAATATAACTGTACTGTAACCAGCTAGGGCTGTGACAGCTTCAAGCTAACCCACAAAGACTTAATTAGTCCTTCACCTCCAGTCGTCTCCATCGGTGAATATTTATAGGCTTCAGCTGTTCCTCAAGGATGCTGATCCTCGCCCTTTCTCTGAGCAGCTCCTTCTGCAGGTGGAACAGCTCTCGCCTGCAACACAACAATTCAGTAGTATCTCACGCAGCACTGTCATTTCAGAAAAAGGTAAAGGCTATACCATCTCCAAGGAGCCTGATTTTCATGTGACTACAGTTGCTGATATTAACCCCAGAATAAACAGTGAGTTCAACTGGTGAGAAAAAACAAGGATAACTTTGACTTCTGGGTATAACTTTGTCCAGATGCACCATACTGCATGTCACTTTCTGAATGAAAATATGCTCAATGGAGCGAAACTCAAGTAGAGCCCACTTAGAGAAACTCACTGGGGAAGGGATGAGAGAAAACACTGCAGTGTTCTGAAGTAGCGTGCTGTCCTGATCTTAATCCAACTGAACAGCTAGAGAAAGAGCTACAGCAAAAGGCTTTAATCACCTCAAAATTGTGTTCTTCAAAATAGTACGTGAAGAGTCCCAAAGTGTTTGTCCATGGCATTTTCATTTGTTATTTACAATAATGTTACATCAAAAATCAAAAGCAAGGTGTCTGTTGTATTAAATATGGAACAGAGTACAGTGGATGCTAATTACTACTTACTTCAGAGAAAATGTTTGTAGTTCAAATTTAAGGTAATGAATAATCAAACTGGATACTTTTTTACCTCAGGTCCTCTGTGTTGGATACAGTCTTGTCGAGGATGTTCTTCTTGCGCCGCAGCCTCTTAATCTCCAGTTTGAGAAGGCGGATGTCTTCCATCCGCTGGCTGTAGTGGAAGTCACCCTTGCTCAGAATTGCCTGTTGGATCCTAATCTTCTCATACAGCAGTGCACGCTCGTCGTTGCGGCGTAGGAGCTGTTTTCCCAGGTTGTCCCTCTCTCTGATTACCTGGAGAAAAATTTACCAACAAATATTTGTGCGGAACACTAGTTTCTGCTGTCGTCTTTTCGCACTACAACTTTATGTCTATATCCTTCTCCTTCTTTACCTGTTCCAGTTGTTTCTTCTGTTGGGTTTG